GGAATAAATGATATATCAATATTTCTTTTCATATTGCTATATATTTTACTCGATATTAATGAAAGAAAATCTAGATAATACAATGATCGATTCTTCTTTGTAAATGTGCGTGGAACATATCAAACTATTTGGTCTGTGTGTGCGCGCGCGCGTTGTATATATAAAGGTTTGTTTTTACTTAAATCACATTGTAGTCAAATCGAATTTCTGAATAAAAATGACATCTATTTTGAAATGAATATAATGTAACTTTTTTATCAGTTACTAGTGTACTAATTTTAAATAGATAAATTTAGATTTCATATAACATTTTCAACAAATTAATATAGATAAATCGTATTACATATTGATTCCATATTTATAATTTATAAATATTATCTAATGAGCATTTGTAATTTATAAATATTAATGAATATTTTTTATCCGTGCATCGCACGAGATTCGTACTAGTATATATATACATTAACTCAACACCCATGTTGTACATGGGTATTGGTATTAGCAAATTATTTTAAATATAAAATGTTATGGTAATATTTTGAAGTCAGTTTCTTATGAATGAGGTAACTAGAGTGAGTCCAATATCTAGAAAGCTAAATAAATTTTATTGTAATTTGGATAGATACTTTTATTTTTATGATTTCCATGTTAGTATGTGTCATTTTATGCTAATAATTTGTTTGAGAAAAAACATATAATATGCACATTTGAATTAGTTATCCATTAAATAAATCTTTAATGCACAATGAAGACTCTAATACAGTTGTCATGGTTGGGAATGGTTAGGAGTTGGGTCTATTTATATCAAATTAACTGTTCCACTGCTAATTAATGTGTAAACATGTAAGTACCAATGTGTAAATGTGTAATTATTGCCATTGTATTTGGAAATAGAAATTATGATATGAGACGGTCTAATCATTAGACGGATCGACCCATTATGTAAAATTTGTAATTTAAGGCCTAAAAAAACATAAGGCGTGACCCTTCACACACAAATCCACTTCCTATAATTGACTAGATAAAGTTGAATTATTCTTATTATTATTACTATGAAAAGATTCAAAAGGAAGATAGCCTTAAGTGGTAGAAAATTTTATTATGGTAGAATATTAAAAAAAAAAAAAATCAATGAATAAATATGAAATAAAATGTATTTTTTTTTTCTTTTAATTGGTTCTATGATGTCTTGGATCCCTAACTAATGAACTCACTGGGAGTTTTTTTTTTATATATATCTTTTCTTTAAGGCCATAAGTTTGGGTTCTTTTCACAAAGTCCAAAAATAAAAAGTCCCCAAAACCCAGAAGAACAATTAAAAAGTGGTCAAAGGAAAACAAAATTGTTGGTTAGCTTTAGTTGTTTGCAGATGTTTACACATGAAAATAGTATACTCAACTCCTTTTCTAACCTCTTTCTCTCCAAAACAAACATATGACAGGCTGGAAGGATCCAAACCCAAAACCCCACCACAACAAATGCCATGGATTTAATGACAAATTAATAATTGGGCCTATTGAGAAAAATTGAAAAATCTCCACAAACACAACAAAATCATACACATTAACAAAGTTACAAATTATTGTGGGAGATTGATGCGAAAGCGTACGTAAGACACGAGAGTATAGAATACTCGATAATAATGTAATTTTATTCAATCATTCACTAACTTCTTCATCATATGATTACATATTTTATAAGAATTCTTGTGACTTTTTGAATGACTCCTAATAATGTTCCTAGTTTTTAGCTAATGTTGAATGTCTCTTTGATTTTGGTACTTTGACTACTATAAACTTCCATACTAACTTTAAGATAACATAATAATATGAAGAGTCACATAAGCATGTAACTCATGCACGACGTCTACGACGCTCGTATTTTTTCCATAAACGTCAAAGCAAGCTCGTCTCCATCATCCTCCCCCGGTTGGGAAGGATTTACCCTCGAATCCGAAATAAGTTCGTCTTCGACCGCTTTATTGCCCAAATATGGCACGAAACATGCCGATACCGGAGTAGTACCCAAGATGGAATCGCCAATTGTTTTCCCCTATCGTGCACGAAGGTTGAATACCGCCCAACCAGTTCAACACTCCCCTCCAAAATTGCCAAACAATTAGCCGCCCAGAATGAAACAACTAGTGCACCAGCAAACTTCATGACATTAACATATTTTAGGAAAACTTTGACCTCTCTATATTCATATAATTTAATTAGCCTCTGCATGTCAACTACAAGAGCACCGGTAGCAGCGGGGGAATCCAATCCAGAGACGCCCATTTGGTTAGTGTGTTCAAAAAACTTCCTATCTTGAAATTGTAAGAGGATGGTATCTTCTGGTCCAAAGTTCACCACGTCAAATGCTCCAATACTAAGAACGAAAGATATCCTCTCCATGTCCCCGCGAAGATGTTTCTCCGTCAATGGAACCTCTTCATCAAAGATCGGCGGACCATCGTAGAAATCACCCGCGTCGGGGTCGAAATCATGAGATTCCCCATCAAAGACTGGCGGGCCATCGTAAAACAATTGGTCGCCTAAGTCACCATGCACGCCATCATCCTCCGGATGATGTGTGCCGTGTTCATCCCCATTGAATCGTTCTCTGTGAACCTCGAAAGGATTCACATCAGACTCTGTTTCATCTTCATAGAACTCCTCGTCGTCGAACTGTGGAGGCAGACGGTGGTGGGGCGCCCCACCGGAACTGCCTCCGCCTCGGCCACCATGATGTCCTCCGCGACCTCGCCGTCCCCCGGCAAAGTTCCGGTTCGCATGCTCGCCTGGAACAATGGTTGCAAGAGCCAAACGAATGTCCTGAAGCCCCATCGAGAGTTCTTCAATTTGACGCCCCATCGCCTCGATGGCGGCATCACGCCTGTCGTCGACATTGTTGCGTGTCGGTGGCATCGAGGATCATGTAGCTGGACTCTGGATACCAACTGATGAAGTCGAAAGCGTACAAAGACACGAGAGTATATAATACTCGATAATAATGTAATTTTATTCAATCATTCACTAACTTCTTCATCATATGATTACATAATTTATAAGAATTCTTGTGACTTTTTGAATGGCCCCTAATAATGTTTCTAGTTTTTAGCTAATGTTGAATGCCTTTTTGATTTTGGTACTTTGACTACTACAAACCTTCATACTAACTTTAAGATAACATAATAATATGAAGAGTCACATAAGCATGTAACTCATGCATGATGTCTACGACGCTCGTATTTTTCCATAAACGCCAAAGCAAGCTCGTCTCCATCAGAGTCGATTTAAGACTATTGACAAGTGATATTTAACTAAAAGTGTGTACTTCTACTAAATATCATACTTTTGTTTATTAAAATTTGTATCGACATGTCTTTTGTTAGTGTTAAGAAGTACAATCATTAGACAATCATACTGTTCCAACAAATATATATATTTTCACTTCAATGTCATACTTTAAAATTATGATATCTCATAATACAAGTATGAATATTTTTATAAATGTTAAAGAAAACGAGATGCTCATGAGCTCGACTCGTTTATCTTGAGCTCCTTGAAGTTCATTAAGTACGGGTCGAGTTGAGGATCTTGGCTCGACTCGACTCATTCATACTGGAAAATATAATTTTTTTATATAATTTCTCTATAGTTATGCTCGTTAAGACTTTAGTTGGCTTATTAAGGCTCAGACTTGACTTGCTAATATTTATAAATTAAACAAGTTGGACTCGAACTCAATTAGTGATTTGTTTAGTTAAATGAGCAGAGCTCCACTTGACTCATTATGAACTTGAGCCTGACATGACTCATTTACAATCCCAAGTATTTATTAAAATATATGATTGTCTAGCATTCATATAGACAGCCTAACAAAAGTTTTTGGGAATTTGTATATATGTTGGAAGAAAATATTGTTAAGCCATTAGGTCCATCTAGGCATGGCTAATGACTGTCTGGCCCGTCGACCCGACCCGGTCAAACCCATTGACTACGAGTCCGGGTTCAAACTGAATTTTCGAAGGGTCGTGTCAGGGTCATCCATTTCATGACCCAGCCCGGTGGGTCCGAGCCGGGACGGGTCGATGACCCTTTTTTTTAATTTTATTTTATATTTTTTCTATTGGTTTTTTCAAAAACGACGGAACCTGCCCGGACCCGGACCGGCCCGGCACGAGTATAGGTCCGTGCCATTGTTTTAGATCCCGGCGACCCGCCAGGCCTGGCCGGGTCGTAGTCCATCCAACATGTAATTACCCAAAGAAAATAAGTGTAATAAAAAATGCTGAAAGTAGATAAAAATGTAAAAGAAGATTGGAAAAACAAGGGAAGAAATTAGAAAAAGGGGTTGGAGTCTCTTCTCTTTTCTTGTAGCATCTGCTTAAGCATCTTTTTCTCACCCACTTTAGCTGCTTTTTTTTTTTTTTTTACTCAGTCCCATACTCATATTCTTGACCTTCCATTGTTTGTGCCTTTGTGGTATATTTTAGTTGCCATATTTTATTTCCTTCTTTTCTTTCTTTTTTTTGCAACTTTATTTTCACTGTAAAAATTCCATCTTTTCTTGTTCTGGGTGATTTCCAAGTTGCTATTTCTACCCAATTTTCCCAGCTGATCTCAGTTTTGTGCCCCATTCATCCGATTCTGTTTTCCTTCCAAACTTTTGCTATTGTTGTGGCATTGCTCACTTACAAAAGAACCCTTTTCCTTTATTTTTATTCCTTTTCCAACCTGACAAGACTTTTGGATTTGTTTTCTTGGGATTGGGAATTAATTCCTTTGTATTGCTTCCTGATTTCTGCTCATCAAGCTCAAAAATTCTATCTTTCTCGTGTTATTGTGCTAAAGATCGAATTTTTATCTATTTTTGTATGAACCCTTGTTGATTTATACTCATTGGAGTTCCAATTTCCCATACAATGGTATGAATTTCTTCTAATTTTCTGATTTAAAACTATTTCACCTTCAATTCACTCATTTTTTTCTTGAAAATTTGACCCTGATGCCATGGGGCTTTGTTATGGAAAACCCATGGAGCCCCCAAAAAATCTAGCCGACTGCCCTATAGTCCTCGACGAAAAAGATGAACAAACCCACAGACCCTCAACTGGCAAAACCCCAAAATTCCCATTTTACAGCCCGAGCCCATTGCCAAGTCTGTTCAAGACTTCACCTGCAAATTCCAGCAGTGTCCCTTCAACCCCTCTTCGTTTTCTCAAGCGTCCTTTTCCACCGCCATCGCCAGCTAAGCACATTAAAGCCTTTCTCTTGAGGCGGCACGGGTCGATCAAGCCGAACGAGGCCACCATACCCGAGGGGAGTGAGTGTGATGAGATCACGATTGGGCTGGATAAAAATTTTGGGTTTTTGAGGAATTTTAGCAGCTGTTATGAGATTGGGGAGGAAGTTGGGAGAGGGCATTTTGGGTACACTTGTTCTGCTAAGGGGAGGAAGGGGAGCTCCAAAGGGCAAGATGTGGCCGTTAAAGTTATCCCGAAATCGAAGGTTGAGAATTGATTTGTTTACTTGTTTGTTTTTTAGAAAATTGATGTGGATTGCCTATTTTTGTGTTTGTTTAATGTTGAGTAATTTTATCTGCTGATTCTCTTAAGTTTATATATATTTTGGTTGATTGGCATTTCTTTCAGCTTGTTTTTTTGTATGCACTATGTCTTGTTTATGGTTCTTTTGTTTCTTTTTGTTTATGCTATGTGGAATTACAAATACATGAAGATGATGAAAGTATCACAAATTTTCATTTTTCGTTGATCCGCTGATTATAGTTTTTGATTTGTACTCTTATATGTTTTGTTTGTTGTTTTTCGATTAATTGTTAATGCAAAGTTGTTCATGGAAGTGCCACCATGCTTACGGTTGTTCAAGCAATGCATAGTTTTGCATTTGAGAAACTTTCTTTGAAGATAGTATCTATTGGGTTACCAGAGAAAAACATTCAAAATAACCTTAAAAAGAAAAAAAAAAACCTTCCAATAAAAATACTTTTGTTATTTGTGCAGATGACTACAACAATCGCCATAGAGGACGTGAGAAGAGAAGTGAAGATGTTGCGAGCACTAACAGGACATAAAAACTTGGTGCAATTCTACGATGCCTATGAAGATGAAGACAATGTATATGTAGTGATGGAGTAAGTTTGAATTTTTTCGAACTGTCTAAATCTTGGTTTACACTCTTTTTGGCACCTTACATTTCTTATTCTCATTATTTTTAGCATCACTCTCCGTTTCTGTAAAAAACTGTCGTTTTTACATGGTTTTGATAAAAAAGATAGCTTTTTTCCTCCTTTCTCTTTTTTTTTTTTTTCGAAAT